TCAGCATGCCCTCACCCTCCAGAGCTTCATTTGGCACCCATCTGCAGTGTGCTCTCCAGCACCTTCCTCTCACAGGAAACCACACTGTCTGCTGACCTGCTTTCTTAGTGTTCTGTCAGAGGGATGAACATTAAGAGGAGTTAAGTTCACCGAGGGCCAGCCTCTTGAAGTTCTAAGTGAGAGTGTGCATGTGTGGATTTTCAGGGAGCTATCAGGATTGCATTCACCCCAGTGTAGCTTGGAACATGTACCAATATGCTCATTGCTGATTTGAAGCTCTCTTTATGCAACTGTGACTGTGTGTGACAAGCACACATACAAACATACAGACATATACATACACTCTCAACACATACACATTATACAAACGCAGACATGTACTTACTCAAACATACACATGCATACAAATACATATACACTCATGCATACACACAAACACATATATACATTCATGTATGCATATGCATATATATATACATATATATATTTACACACAGAGATATTCACTCATACACACATACATACAGATGGGCTTTTCCCTTTCTCCTGTCGCTTTCCACCAACTCTGGTGGCATAAACTGCCTTCTGTCCCACAAGCCATTACCCTATCTCCTTTTTCATACCCTGCTGTCTGCGACCTGGAACATGGCTTTGATTTGATGTGCCTTGCTTTGGTGCATGGAGAACATTGATTTTCCTACAATGCAGTTCACATCATTCCCGAGCATCTTCAGTCTAGACCATCATGTAAATGTTTTCCTTGGGCGGGACTGGAAGGAAATGTTCCCAGAAAACAAACAAAACCCTCCATCAGCCGAAGCCTTCCATTCTTGAGCTGTCAAGTGCAGCAGTGTGGGGGATCTGGACAGCTGAGGGTGGCTTCCCCAGCACTCCAGCCCCACAGACACCTAGGCTGTGGCATCTTCCCTAGCTTGCCAGGGCCCTCTAGACTGTTGCCTGATATACGTGGTCTGGGGCTGCCATGTCCTAGTGAAGACATGCAGTCTCCAAGATAAATTTGTTCCAAACGCTTCCTCTTCATCCTGTTCTCATTCAGCCATCCCTGACTTCCCAATGTCACTTCTTTGGTCCACTGTCAGCACTGGTTCTGGACCCAGTGACTCACAGAGCCTCTCCCCTCTCTCTCTGTCCTTGTCCCCTGACTGTGTGACCGTTTACCTTTATCTTCTCCCTGTCACTTGGCTGGCAGAGGACAGTGAAAAACTGGAGGCTGTCCCTCCTTTACCCCCTCCCTCTTGGCTCTGTCGGTGCCCGAGTGAACTGCCCACCTTGGCACCCATGCAGTCCAGGACTACCATAGGTGACCCCATCTCTGAGCTCTTTTTACTCAGCTCCCCTTTGAGCCCCTGAGGCAGAGTCCCACTGCCCCTTCCTTAGCTCTTTCTGGTTGTCTATGACCTACAGTCAAGCCTGGATGACATGATGGCCACAGATCTAGAGACTTTGAAACTGCCTATCTCACTAACCCTCTCAGCATGCAGCTTCTCCACTGAAGCTCATCAAGGGGGTCCTCGAAACTGCCCATCTCACCAAGGAGGAATGTGTTTTGAAGAAAGAAAGAGACAAGAAACAGAAGATAGCGTCAGGATGGCATCCAGTAAATACTGAGTTTGAGTTTATTACTCAAAGTGCTTATATACCCCAATCAAAAGGGGGGAGTCAAAAGACTTCCTTAGCATGCTACAAGGAACAAACAAATGTAATTACTTCCTTAAAACCCAAAACATCAAGTAACCACACACTCAACCAAACATCCTGCTGTTTAGGTCAAACATCCATTAGCTGAACCTTAGGCCAAATAGCCTGTTTTCTAGGCAAGACATACAGTAGCCACACCTGAGGCCAAACATCCTTCGGTTTAACCTTGAAGGAGCAATAATAGACCTGAATTCTCTGACCCTAAGTCCAAATGGAAGGGAGCCACTCCTATGGGCCTCCACACTTCAGCTCCCCTGTATGCCCATTAGAAGGATCTCTTTCTAGGCTGTGAAACTGGCACAAGCTGACAAAGTGCCCTATGAGAGTTGAGAGTAGAATAGGCCAAGTGAGACCCTCCATTACACAGTTACTGTGGTTTACATCAGAGCTCTTGCCTGTCCATCAGGGCACTCTGGTCACCTTTTTTAAACACTATATATGTCTCGGTTTCTTCACCTGTGAAACACAAATAATGGAAGTCATTTCATTCATTGAGATAGCCATTGGAAACCTCCCAGCCCATTGTCTGGCAACTCAGGAAAGCATCCATGCCTTCTCCTCTCCTAAAGTGGTCACATGAGGTACAGTATGAGTGCCTGTCTCCTCCTGGAAACATACTTGTTTTCTAATAATGAAAATAAACAACAAATATAAATGCTGTAGATTCAGCAAGGAACGTGAAATGTACAGGTCTCATTCTATGGATAAGACTATCAGAGACTTCAGGGCAAGCTGACTACTCAGCCTTGAAGTCATAAGGAGGAGGTGGGCATTTACTCCACAGGGACTGGGGAGGGCTTCATTAGTGGGAGGAGACACTTCTACTTATAGAAAGCATGACCGTGCCCCCAACACACTGGGGAAGGGGTGGAATGTGCTGGGCTGCAATGTGTGGGGAGTCTGGCCCAGAGTTATTTTGATTTCCATTAACATTCTCTTCCATAGGTATTTAACCATAATTGAACACATGTGCTTCTGTTTTATTTGCACTTAGTCCATCAAAGTGTCCCTTACAGTCTGAACTATACCGCCAAAGCCTCGAGTTCTTCAGTGAAACCTCCACTAATACCCCTGGGAAACAGGAAGTTGCATTTACTGAAATATAAATAAAGTCAGCTCTCAGGGGCTTTGCTGGGGCCGGGGTCACAGGAGAGGCAGCCATCCACTGTGTCCTCTCAGAACACGCTGGAAGGACACAGTCCTGTAGCTCTGGACAGATAAGTGTTTGGAAAACACATCCGTCCTTTGTTCAAACCTGTGACACCTTCACGTGCCATTTGGAAAAGCAAGAGACCCTACAGATTTGGGTGAATAACTGAGGATCAGTGCAGATTTATTCTCTGCTTCTGTCTTCTCTGACTCTGGGCAGTGTAGGCAGGAGGAGAAGAGGAGGACAAATGACATGTAACCTAAAACCCCACTCCAAAGATATCCACGGGACTCCTCTCCCTGCCTCTCCCCTCTCACTTACCCTCTCGCTCACTCCGGCTGCACACATGGAACCAATTATGAACAAAGCCCGATTGTTGTACATTCGGACTTTCCCATGTGGGCTCGTTGCTTTCTTTAACCGCCTTTTAGTTTGTGTCTGCGTGGGAGGACCCTACCCACGGTTCCAGCCCGGCTCCCCAGCCTCCCAGTGCCCCACTCCTCTGAGCATCTCTGCTCTAATTCAGTCTCTAGTAGCACAAAAACCCTTCTTCCCTTCACACCCCACCCCCATTTCCTATTAGTTTTGTCTGAATAAACAGAACTTTCTTTTCCATCACTCTTAATAAACTGAGCTCTGGTTTGTGGAAAATAAATAAAAACTAGTGCCCAACATGTGAGTAACATCAGGCTAAGTCCAAGATCCCTGCAGAGGGATCTTTGCTTTGCTGTCATGAGGACCAGGACAGAGGGTGGGTGTGCAGTGGTGTGTGGGTGGGTGTGTGTGTGTGTGTGTGTGTGTGTGTGTGTGTGTGTGTGTGTGTA